AAAATTTCAGCCGAAATTCAGTATCAAACTGACGGTACAAAAGGAATTTCCAGAAATTTAGCTTCCACATATATAACTGCAGCAAGGTTCAAGGGCTCAAATATTACCAGAAATTTAATTTCCAGTCAATAGTCTATTAGATTAATCATCTCGACCACTAAAATTAACAAATAAAAACAACTTTAGACCTTACGATTACTCTAACATTGACAAATAAAAAAAAACATTAGACCCTATGATTAGTATATCTTGTAACACAATATCTGAATCGTCAATTTTCGAGTGTTCACACATATTTACTATATCGGTGTCACTTTTGGAGCTCCAAAATCTATAATCGAGATTAAAAATAAATTTTGAGGCCATCACATGAGTTTATGTGGCCAAGCATAAACAAACTCCCAAGTCGATCATCTCGACCTCATAATTATAAACAATAAAAGTTTAAGCACTACGATCCATATATCTCGAAACATAATTTCCAAAGACTGCAAAACCGTCAGTTTCCAAATGCTCATGGATCAAATAACTCGGCATCACTTTTTAAGCTCCAAATTGCAGGACAAAAACAGAAAAAAAGGAAAAGAAAAAGAGGCAATTACATGAGTTTCCATTGGTATTGTAAAAGCTGGGCTTTATACCAAATACACTAATTAATTTTTAAGGTGTATTGTAACTACCAAAAGAAAAACTAACAGATTAGGAAAAGGGAAAAGCTTATGTGGAGCCGTGGCTTTAAAGAATCAAACTAGAGCATACCTCAAAAATTTCATTAAAAGATGTTGTTTTGATGCTCAAATATCCTCAAATTGAACATCTCGACATCATCAGCTCCATTGACATGAGAAAAAAATAGATTTAAAGTTTGGAAAGCAGTGTATTTTGTAACGCATTTTTTGACCGTCAAATTTCAAGATTTTCAAGATTTCATAAATCTATCGATCTACGCTATTTTTGAAGCTTTAAACTTTTTAAGGTTATTACAATGATTTTGAGTATTGAAACCACATTTATTGACACGATATGAAGGTAGGATGTAATTTGATTGTTTAGAGCCTAGGCTCTACACAAACCGCAACCAATAGGAAAATATATCCAACACAAATTGATGCGCGAAATGAACGAAAATTTCGGGCGACGATTTCGGTGAAATTATATTGCACAGTTGGTAGAGGGTTTGTACAATTAAGACGAGAGAAATAGAGGGAGGAAAGAAAAAAAAAAAGAGAGGAGGCGAAATTCAATGGCATGCGTGCACCTAATTTCGTCAAAATTCCCAATAATGCTCTTTCCTTGCCACTGTCATTGTCCTGTGTGACCCACTCCGGAAAAAACCTGAAACCCTAATATCTTTTTATGGGACACCCAGCCTGCTTTGTGGGTGGAAAACCAAAATAGAATAAAGCATAAAAAGGAATGTCAATAATATGTTTATCGATAAAAGCTAGAAAAACCTAACGGAGAAAATTGAATAATAATCATAGGAAGATAATGTTAAGATTGTTGAGTTCAATACAATTTTTGGTGGAAGCCGCTGCTCATCATTATTATTTACATGAATAAAGGGCCTAAAGATGTGGTGTCTCGTACCTTTCATCATTTTTTATTAAAGTCTGGGTTTTCGTTTTGTTTGTTTAGCGGGTTATTTGGCCAACGGACAGTGAGACGGAAAGCGAGGGAGTCCATATGAAAATTAAAAATTTAATTAAAACCAGCAAAATACTGAGCAGTGTCTTGTACATCGATATTAATAGAAAATAAATCTTCATAAATAAATTTTTTTAATTTTCAATTTAAAATAAATTGTCAACTATTATACTTATTATTTGTTTTCTTAAAATTCTATAAATTTATGTATGATATGTAGAAGTTCTATGTTAATGGCAACGTTAGTTGCTACTTGTGCCCACAGGCTTGGATCTTGCCCCCCTCCCTCGAGAATCAGTAATAAAATGATATTAGAGAAAGAACGAAAACCACGCATTAAGTAGCCCCTATCTTTCATACAAATGACCAGAAATAAAGAAAACCGGACCCTTGTTTTTTTCTTCTTTACATGAGCCTCAAAACAAAAAAAAAATGGGACCGATTTCACATTTTCCATCTTAAAGAATACAAGCTCTTTGGCCGTTATTTGCTCCTGATTCCTATGTTTGAATAGGAATTGAGTCCTCAATCGCCAACATACCAATTCTGATTCGTCCGTTCTAACTCGGGTAATTACCAAGCGGATCAATATACAAAAAAACAAATAAATAAAATTAGATTAAAAAAAAAAAATAGTCTGATTCTCATGTATGTCAAACTAGAATCACCCAACACCTGATCTGATTCAACTCGAGCAAAAAAAAAGAGAGCTGGTTTGAGCCAGAGAATCACGGGGTCGTCGTTTTGCTTGTCATTTTCCATATACACTAGAATGAGTTTTTTTTTTTTCATTTGAAAGTTGGGAATTGGGATCCATTGCATGTAGCTGAGGCCCTAAATAATCAAAATAGGGCGCACCTTTAAATAGTACTAAAATATGTTGTTTCAGTATAAAAAATCTTTAAGATGGTCTGACAAATTATTTTTATTTTTAATTATTAAATTTAAAGTTAAAAAAAATGTGGATCGAGCAGAGCTATAAACACCTAAAAATTAACAATCTAGATAATACATTACAAGATGCATTATTTCCACAACTTGAAATTTATTTTTTCTCATGTCCATACATCTTGAGGTCGAGACAATTAAATTGAAAGTTTTTCAGCATCAAAACAATATTTGAGATGGGCCTTAATTTGATTGTTTAAGGCCTCACCCTTATATAAACGTTTTCCTTGCATTGTATCTCGAGTAGAAGTCGTGTAAGTTCATGGAAGTCAATGTATAATTTAGAAATTTGTTGGGTACGTTGGTAGTGTTGCATGAGCTTTAAATGTCCAAGTTAATTCATATTAAACTCCATGTCCTCTAAAACGGAGAACGAGGGAGCCATTGATTACAACTTGTAGTTTTTCCTGGTTCGTACCATTTTCGGTAGTCCTGCCGGCCTGCCCCATTCCTTTTGCTCTCTCTCTCTCTCTCTCTCTCTTCCCAAAAAGATTGCAAATTTTAGGCCGTCTTCGATTTCTGTCCTCTGGGATTCATAGTTGCCATTATTAGAGAGAAGAAAAATGGGGGTGGCAGCCCGAAAATCCGGGGCTGCTCACTGCCGATATGAATTTAATGAAATAGAAAGAGAGGCTCCACTTACTTATCAAAAACAAAAAAAAAAGAAAAGAAGAAAGAGGTGAGGCATTATAGTACAGTTGAAAAAACCGATCTTACAATTACCTGCTAAGTGATTTTGGTGACCGATCGGTATTTTAAAAAAGAGTAATGATAATATGAGACCCTTCTACACCCGTGTAGGACCCTAAATAATCACCATTAAATTTAATAGAGATCTCTAGAAAAAGTTATCATAGGATTTGATTTTTTTAGAAATTTATGCCAAATTTAATGATGATCTTTTGACATCGTACACATGTGGGTATGGGAGGATCTCATAAGATTATTACTCTTTAAAAAATAATATTAAAATATAAAATATCTCAAATATTATGGATTGTATTTGTAATGTATTTTTTTTAATGGTGTGGTTTTTATAAGGTTGCAACCTTAAACAATCCAATCAAATCGCACCTCCAAATTTTATCATAAAATGTAATTTTGTTGTAAAATTTTCTAGGATTATCTTAAAAACTATTTTCATATCTAATTAGAACATTTTTAAACTTAAAAAATGGCTAAAATCACGTAGATCTGTAAACATATAGAAATCTTGAAAATGGACGGTCTAGATAATGTGTTGCAAGATGCACTATTATTTAGACTCAAAAACCCTTTTTTTTTAATATTCATACATCTCAACTTCGAGATGATCAATTAGAGGGTTTCTCAACACTAAAACAACCTTTCTGATAGATTTTTGAGGTACAGTTCTACATTTTAAGGTTGCAACCTTATATAAACTTTTTTATTTTTTTTAATGGTTTTTGTTGTTATGGCAAAGAGTGAAAATTATTTTGGTCATTAATACTTATTTTTACATTTTCTATCTTGTTTTATAAAATTTCAAAAATACCTCTAGGTATAAATCAATTCTTAAAATTTTTTTTTTCATTAATTTTCAAGAAGTGATTTGTTTAGTAGTTCTTAAAATATACTTTTCATATTTTATTAGATTTTTTTTTACATTTTTTTAATTACGAGACTTGACCGGTTAGAATGGTTGAATCGACTGGTTTACTGGTTAAGCCGGTTGAACTGCTTCCAGGCATATGTCTAATCAACTGTTCCCGTTCGATTTTACGAACATTGGATTAGACAAAGATAAGAGTAGATTAGATTTGTTTTGTTTTTTTTTTTTTCTTTTTCTCCAAAAATTGAGGTTTCTATAAAGCGCTCATCTTAGCCAATGAAAATAAGGCACACTTACTCTGCTGGAAGAGGCAGCTTTGGTGTAGACTCTTGTGATCGCCTCAAAAAATAGTATTGATTGGGTGGTTATATGAACTTACGTAGCGGGACAAGGGTAATTAGCTTGACCTCGACACAACGGTGAGGGGGGTTAGGGGCGAGTTGGGTACCCAACTTGCCGATTCCAAATAAACACTAAAAAATAGAAAACTTCAGTATAATGGTTAGAAATATTTATTTTTAGAGAAATTTCCTCATTTTTAAGATCATTTAGAAAATTTCATTTTTTTCATCATTTTTAATTTCTGTGAAATATTAAAGCCATAAACGGATAAAATAGTTTCTTATTTCTGTCGCTAAATGCCTTCCACCTTAACTATTACCATCAGCTGGGTCTCTAGCGTTGATGTGAGGGTAGAATAGTCATTGAAGCATTTGATTTCCATGTCGAGTTTTATAGACCGAGACCAACTTTCTTTAAAACCCATGGAGAGAGAGAAGCGAGCCTCGTGAATCGCGTTATATCATTCCCTCCTGGCCCTAATAAAAAATCTAAAAGTTTTATAAATTTCTTTAAAAGCCCTTTATCCCACTCCGCCAAAGCGGTCAACACTCGAACCCTTTTCCCAGAATCTCTCTGATCACACACATACTGAATCACAACCCAATATAGAGAGAGAGAGAGAGAGAGAGGAGTTCACGGGGCAGGAAGAGAGAGAGTCATCCGTTACTGCGGCAGCGACTATGGTGAAAGACGCCTGTCGCTGAAGCATTGCGCGTGGATTTTTAGTGAGAGTGTAGAAAAGGGAAGCATGGGTCACAGTTGGATTCCTGAAGACGGTGGAAGGCTAGAGAGAGAAATGCAGAAGCAGATGGGCGGGTGTATGGCTGGGTTCCTTCAGATCTTTGATAGGAATCAGATTCTCACCGGAAAGCGCCTCTATGGACCCAAACGGCTTCCTTCCATTTCTCCAAAGACCCCCGAAACAAACACCCGTGAATCCCAGGTAACACAGATTGTTTTTATATTGAAGGAGTGGATGAGAGAAAAAGAGAAGGGTCTTTTCCATGTCATCTCTTCCATCTCTTTCTGGTTCAAAAAGGAACGCAGATTTCCATTTTTTGTGGAGAAATTCGAGTGAATTATCTTTGTTCACAGCCTTCTTTGCCCATTGCCCACCTTTCGTTTTACCCGCAACGAAGCAGAAAATAAAGTTTCTGTGATTTTGATTCCATTTACAGAGAGACCATTCTCTCTTTTTTTTGAGTATTGCAGAGACACCATTCTCTCTCTAACCAGACCGTACCACTTCAAGCAAACAAGAAAGCCCATTTTCTCTCTCCACAAATTTGGAGGACTTTTTCTCCGAGGAATCCGCTTTTAGTTTCTCAGTCTACGGACGGACTTGGGAGCTCTGTTTCTAATCAAATCACATTACATTTTGTTGTGAATTCAATTTTCTGGCTTTTAGTTTCTCACTCTACGGACTTGGGAGCTCTGTTTCAAATCGAATCACGTTACATTTGTTGTGAATTCAATTTTTTCGTTCTGCCCTTCTCTTCGAATACAGGTTGTGCCAGAAAAAGTGGGCGTACCGGAGCCTGAGAAGACCCCCCCACCCTCCACCACAAACAGCTCACCGCTCGTCGCACGAGTCACGCCGGAGAACGCGAGGGCGCCGCCAGTTAGCCGAGCTCAGTCGATTCCCGAGCCTGCTCCCGACTGCGACGCCGGCTCGAAGAAGCCGCCGCCAAACAGAGACGTCCTCCCTCTCCCTCTCCCTCTCTTCGACTTCACTAACAACGCCTCCAAGCCGTCCCATCGGCTCCGAGAAGGGCCGCGCCTTTCGCTCGATAGTCGAGCCACCTTGGCCCACAAGGGGGGCCTCGAGATCCGCACCGTCCACGTGTCCCCGAACTACAAGATCGACGATGGGGAGCAGCGCCGCTCTCCCAGCGTTGTGGCTCGGCTCATGGGCCTTGACGCGATGCCCGACTCCGGAGCGCAGGTGCCAGTGCCGAGCCTTCGCCGCTCAGCCTCCGAGACACGTGCGCGGAAGGACCCGACTCAAATGGACGGCTGCTATGGCACCTTGCCCAAATCCGAATGCTGGAGCATCCCGATTCAGCCACGCAAGGCACCAGAGAGTCCGCCGGAGACGCGTAGGACAATGTCGTCGTCGCCGCCGCCGCCGCCTGAAATCCGCCGAAAGATACCAGATAATGGCCGGAAACCGGCGGACGAGGCCGCCCCTTGGCATGTGCGAAATAAGAAAGGGGGCACGTGCGAGGAGATCCAGTTCCCTTATGGCGAGGTCGAAAGGAGGCTTAGGCTAAGGGGAATCGACGATCCAAGTCGGGATCTCGAAACCCTAAAGCACATTTTGGAGGCGTTACGGCTAAAAGGTTTGCTCCACTCTGGCGGTCGAACAGGCAGACCATCGGTTCTGAACTTCGTGACCGACCGGAGGGTATCGCCGGAGAAACCGGCAACAGAGACTACAGGGAGGAAATCACTTCCGAATCGTGGTTTCCCTGCTAGTACGGATGTCAGGATCCGGAAGATCAGGACGGAGGTTCCGGTTAGTGGCAACTCTCCGGCGTACGGTAGCCGGAGAAATCCGGGCGACGAAATGGGGTTGTCGGCGAGGAGAAGCCCGAGGAAAGGGCCGAAGGGCCGAGTAAATGCTCCAGTTTCGCCACCTGGCAGTACAAGGAGGAGCGAGAAGGTAGAGGCCTCGAGAAGGAACGGCGATGCAAGGGTATCACCCGGGAGGACAGCAAAGGCGGACCGTCCCATTGGTAGGATGAATAACTCGGCAGGCGATTTGGGCGGGAGATCGCCGAGGAATAGAAGGAAAGCTGGAGATGTTTGCCAGGTGGAGGTGGCATCAACGGAGAGCAGCAGGAGCGCGTCGTCGCTAATCGAATCTGAGGTAAGAACCCAATTTACTAAAATGCCCCTACCACAAGTGCCCGTCGTCAACCCGAGAATTTGAGTCGTGCGTGCGGGCACGTTAGAACCCACATCCATGAGATTGCACAGTAAAGTACTTTGGACTGTTTGCTTTATAATCTCCGCAAAACCGTTGCAAAATAATTTTCTAAAATGTCTGGGATGTTTTCTCATTTCACCTTGTGTATGTATTTCTTGAAATTTCTTCTATAGTGATTATTTTTTCCTCTTTTTTTTTTTTTTATTATATATTTTCTTCATCTGTAAGTTGAGTTTGTAGGATTTCTCTTTTTCTTTGTGATTTTTGTTGAGCTATCATTTTCAATTTGTTATTATGATATGAACATCAATGTAAACTTGAAATGCAGGTTTACAAGAAGGGAAGGAGCCTGCTGGAACGGTGCGACAAGCTGCTGCAGAGCATAGCAGAGGTGACGGCCGAACCACAGCCGAGCCCAGTCTCAGTGCTCGATTCCTCTTTCTACAAAGAAGAAGATGGCTCTCCTTCTCCTGTCGGGAAACGATCAATTGATTTCAACAGTATGTTATTTTCTCATCTTCCCCCTTTTCTGTTTTGCATCTGGTTTTATGTTTGGTTCTATCATAGTCATGCCTCCTCTTCCAAAAATATATTGGATGGTGGCATATCTATATTTCCAAAAAATCTAGAAAAATTATGGGTGAAACATAACTTGCTGAGTAAACCGGAACCCAGCCGAGCCGGTTTTGGTGGTTTAGCCGGGTATCTAAAAAAATATATAATCTCAAAAAATAAAGAATTTATTTATGATGTGTTTTTTAATGTTTTCTATCATTTTGACGAATTTGTTTGGTCCATGAATACTTATTTTTACATTTTTTTTATATTTCTAAAGTATCCTCGAACACAAATTGATTTTTTCAAATCCATTTTTTCACTGCTTTTCAACTTCATTTGTATGTTTTTGTTTAATTATACTTTGAATATGTTTTTCATAATTTTTAATTTTTTTTTTTATTTTTTTTTATTGATCTTTTTGATTTTTTAAAACTTTTTGACGAAACTTAACCGGATAGACCAGGTGAACCAGCTGGTTTCTGAGTTACTTTGCCCCAGCTCTTGGCTGGTTTCCAGGTTCCATGCAATCGCACACTGGGTTACGGGTAATACCGTCAATTCGTTGATTTTTGCATATGCCAGTAACAAAGTCTTTTACAAAATCTAAACTCGTAATAATATTATAAAAATGGCAAGATTTATATGTTTTCCCTCCAGCATAAAACTTATATATTTCCCTTTATCCAACCCTCCAATTTGAATGGAGGGTTAAGATTGTCCTAATTACAATGTCACGTTTTTATATTATTTTATTTTTAATTTTTTTAATAAATTGTTTTGACATTAAATTTTGGACGTCCAATCCTCTATTAAACTCGCACTAGTGAAAAATGTTAAAAATATTTTCAATAAAATAACACGACTAAAATACTTATAAAAATTTTAAGAGGTATTTTGGTCATTATATTTTATCAAAAAATTATTTTTAATATTTTTTATAGGTGTTCTCCAATGAAAAAATAGCACATGCCAAAATTTCATATTCATACAATTTGGATTAAAAATTAAAAATAAAATACTTTGAGTTGTCAAATCTAAAATCAAACAATAAATAGCTCTTTATATCAAAATTAGACATAAACATAGATCTTCTATGCTATAAAAAAAACTAAAACTAAAGTACTTTGAGTTGTCAAATCTAAAATCAAACAATAAATGGCTCTTTATATCGAATTAGAAGGCCAGGTGGTAAGAGAAACATAGACCTTCTATGCTCTAAATGTTCCGGGGAAATATAGAAACATTTCCCTCATAAAAAAAACAATTGTCTCGGTTTTAGGTCAGCTGCGTCTTAAATTTGAGTCCATTCTAACAATTTCAAGTCAGCTCCGCAAATTTTCAAACGCTACTTTAAAATTAAAGACTAAACCGGTCCTCGTTCACTTTAGGGTATAACTTATTTCTTCTTTCTTGGCAGGGGCGTTTTTGGTATTTAATGATCAGGGGTGTTTTTGGTACTTAATTATCAAGGTTATTTTGTCACTTCGGGTAGTATATGGTGGTCATAATCAAAGTTGATAAATTAGGCGCGCGACGTCCAATTTAGGCGGGTTGGCTCCAGTCTGTGCCACGTGTATACAGCTAACCCATCAGAGAGCCCCCAACAATAACATTTAGAGTTTTTTGGGGATTCGAAGTTAAATTCGATACATCTCACCTGCTCTTGATAGTTTTTTGGGGAAATAATCGTAGTGAAATGAACTCCAAATATTTTATCTTCTTCCAATTGTCCATGTCTTTTTTTTTTTTTTTCATAGTTGGGCTTGCTTTCTCTCTCAGGTGAGATGTTTGGCCGTCCTCAAAACTTTTGACTGGTCGTAACATAAAAAGAAAAAAAATGGATGAGGCTAAATGATGCCCATAGCACTTTCATTTTCTTTATTTTGTGCTCTTAGACAAAAATAAAATCATTCAAAATATCTTTACATGCCACACCCTCTCTTATCATTGTTTGTCATTGTAATGGATGGCCATGATTGGATAGATTATGGTTTTTCTATAATCCATCATGCTCAATTATTTATTGGGTGGGGTTTGTATAAGGTGCCTGTTTTATACTATACAAGTAAGGTGCTCCTCTAAATTCTGCCGGAAGATATAATTATGGTATTGTAATGTTATGATTGTTTGAAAATGCATATTCAACACTAATTATGGAATTGAAATTTAAAAAATAGTGCAGATCATGACATTTTTGAAAATAGATGATCCATATAACTTATTATATACTGCGTTATTTTTAAGACTAAAAATTGTTTTTTCTTTATATATTCAAGGTGAAGATGATCAATTGAAAGATTTTCCAACTTATGAACACCCTTTGTAGAGGATTTATGAAATGCACCTTACATCTATTGCATAAACAACTTTTTCCTTATTTATGTATGGGAAAGGTTTACATATGGTTGTAACCTTAAAATGTAGAATCGCATATGCACGTCGAAAATGGATCGGAAATGTTGTTTTAATGTTGGAAAAACCCTCTAATCGATCATCCCGACATCGAGATGCATGAATATGAGAAAAAAAAGTTTTTGAGTCTCGAAAATAGTGCATCTTATCTGGACCGTCTATTTTCAAGATTTTCATATATTTATAGATATACTTGATTTTAACCATTTTTGCAATGTAAAATCTTTTAATTAGGTGTGAAAATAGATTTTAAGATAATACTGAGTGTTTTCTACAACAAAATTACATGTTATAATAAAAGTTTAAAGTGCGCCTTAATTGGATTGTTTTAAGGTTGCAGAACCCGCACCCTGTATGTATTGATGTGTTTCATTTGTTAGTCTCAGATGTTGAACCCACCGAAGAAGAAGACGACAATGCTAACTCCACAAACCTACCCCACCTCTCGACCCAGGAATTACAAGACTACCTCTACATCTCACAAATCCTCCAAGCCACAGGCCTCTTACAAAATTCCTCAAAATGTCCCTCTCAAACTGACCAATCCCTGACCCCCGACCTCTTCGACTGCCTTGAAGGCCAGCGCCATCAAAAGCACGATCCAACCTCCACCCTTCATCGACGGCTCGTATTCGACACCGTATCCGATATCTTCAATAAAAGGCAAAGGCAGGCACCATGGGAATCATTCTCTGGCCGGCGAAAGCCTGCTGGAAAATGGCTTTTCCGGCAGGTTTGGTCAGAATTTCGACGACTCCAGAAGAGGGGGCCTCGAGATGAGGACGCATGTGAGGCTGTCTGTTCGGCTCTGTTTAAGGATGCAGGGGAAGTAGAGAGAGAGTGGACCGTTTATAGTTCGGAGCTGTCTGATGCTGTTCTGGATATGGAGAGGTTGATTTTTAAGGACCTTGTGGGTGAGACTATAGGGGAGTTAGCAGTGTTGGTTGGTGGGAGGACTAGGAGGCAGTTGTGCTTTGGATAGACGGACGGACGGACGGACGGACATCTCTCTCTTTCTCTCTCTACTTATTTCTATTTTCTCTCTCTTACTCTTTTTTTTCTTTTTCTTTTTATCCTGAATCACCAACTCCTTTCCCATCTCTCTTTCATTTTCATATTTATAACGCCAAATTCTCTCTTTCCTTGATTTTTTTTTGTTTCCCTGTGATCGATCTCTCTCTCCTCTCCTTTGTCTTTTTTTAATGGATACCAATCCAACCCACCTTTCCTTTTCCCTCTCCTTTCAGTTGAACTTCAAACATTCTCTCTCTCCCCCCCCTTTCTCTCTTCAGGAAAATATAGTTTTGTTTTTGGGGAAGCCCCATTTGATGTAAATTAGTAGGCAAAGCTTGTACTCGAGTACTTCGATCATTGGAGAGGAATTTTAGTCTGTTTGCTATTCTTCCTTTTCATTATGCTCAAATTCGAACTCTTGATTTTTCTCCATCACAAAGTGTAGGACCAGAAATCCATCCATACTTGATCCATAAATTCTATGAAATTCCGGTTTCCCATCCACTAATGAGTCACTCGGATTTAAATTCAGGAAAAGATGTGGTGTGATTTTATTTGGGAAATGGAAGCATGGAGGTGGGCTTTCTCAATGGAAAAACCTCAAATTGATCTTTTTGACCTTAACAATGATGGATCCTAAAGAAAGTGGATTCTAATCTTAAAAGCACAATGTCTTATAGCACGCTTTCTAGACTATTTTCAAATTTACACTATTTTTAACGCTTCAAATTTCATAATCATAATCTGGAGTACAAATAAACTGTAAAAAAAAACATCAAAGCCTTTATGGGGCCGGAGCTACATTTTTGCAGAGTAATGAGGTGCAACTTCAATGGATGATTGTAATGGTGTGGGACTTGTCAGTCATTTGTGAGGTGTCTCTCATGGCTCTTGTGAAGCATTTATGGCACACCCTCCACTTTTGTTTGTAATCCGCAATCCGGTTCCGTTTGTTTACTATGTTTGTACTCGATACCCCATCCCCTTTATTTTTCATCAAAGAAAAACATGTGCGCAAACAAACTCCAACTGAATTTAGTTCAAATGGAGGTAACAGGTCCCACAAGTTAATTGATGCATAATGAATAATTGAGGTCTCTCTTTCTCTCTCTCCAAAACGAATAATTGAAATCTCTCTCTCTTCTCTCTCTCTCCAATGAATAATTGAAGATATTCATTTTCATTTATACAGATTGTGCGTTTTCTAGTTACTCGGTCCTTGGCGTGAACGAAATCCACCGACCATTATTTATTGGATGGTGCAGATTGGATAGGACAGCTTTGTTCAAGAGTGGGCGACCACAATGTAGTGTTTAGTTTCTATCTACCAGATACGGAAAGGAATTTGATGTGCAAATGGATAGAACGGACTTGGGAGAGGAAGCGCCAAAAACAAACCCTAAATACGGCATGTTTCCCTTTTTTACCTCACCATTGTACAAAAGCTCTGTCCCCCTCTTTGTCAAGTTGCTCTCTACTAGCCAAAAGATGCAACAGTGTCTGGCCATTTATTTCCTCGTAAAACCCAATATATCAGTAATTTTAGGATCTTAAAGTTTTGGGGAGGTGACCTCTTCAATCCACAGATTAGATTAATCTCAGCAAAAATAATTTATGTATCTTAAAGCTTTGGGGATGTGAACTCTTCGATCCATATATTAATCTTTGTAAAAAAAGATTTATAAGTAGGACTCTTTATGTACTTGAAAAAACAAATTTGTTTCAAGATTGAATAGAGACTGGCCAATTTTTGAAGGACGAGATCTAAGTGACAAAAAAATCAAAATTCAATTTTTTTTATTTTTATTTTTTTTTATTTTGAAAATAGTCTCTTATTCTTAGATTGTTCCTAAAGTTTTAGACAAAAAAAATCTCCTATGTAGGTCTTTCGATCGAGGGAGTAGGTGCATAGTATAGCTCGTGCTGGAGCACATTATGCTGGCTCCTACTACTATCCGTTTCAATTTATACTATTTTTGTGATCCCATGGGGCTCAAATTATAAGACCATTCCCTTTTTGTTATAAGGTTAATCTTGAATGTGAAATAAAAAAATTGAAGTGTATCAAAATATTCAAGAAAATTACCTTTGAATTTTATGTCTATTTACACATTTCGAACCACCCAATTTCACCGTTTGACAATTAATAATTGTAACTTCCTTGTACCAAAAATTAGCGGTCGATTTGTGCAAGGTTCCCAAATATAATATGTATGAACTAGCTGATGGGAAATTAGGTTTCGAAACCTCTTACAAAATCATTAATGGGTTCCTATTTAATATCAAAGGATTTATTTTAAAACTCTTCAAAGAAAATACCTAAATTGTGGCCCTAAACAAGCAAAGATACCACATTAAGTTAACCCACCCCTTACATTTAGCCGAGATCTCGAGTTATCGAAATACTCATATGCTTGTTTAGGGTTCCCAACTCTAAACAAGGGTAACTTATCTAGCTATGTTTGGAGAGACTTTTGGAGGAGGCCCGAGTAAAATAAAAATTACGAAGCAAACCCTCCTAGCATATAAATGGATATTTTGAGCCCTTACGGATTTTTTTAGGAGTCTCGACCCCTTGAATGGGAATTTGCCCTAATAAATACAATGGTTAGAAATGGCTTCCAAATCATCCATATACTCGATCTTCACCCCTCCCGCTTGCTCTTGTTTTAGAAACACAATATATCTCCATTGCTCCGTATGTTTGGGAATTAGAAATTGCAGGAGAGGGAAAAGAAAATCTAACCCCTTTATTTGAGACGGGCCTTCACATCAACACCCTTGATTTGAAGATGGCGAGGCAGGTAATGGGGGGCCGCATCAGTGGTCAGGGAGGTTGATGCACCTCGATTTCCACCATCAATATGCCAAAAAAAAGAAGAAGAAGGTAGGCAACCTATTTAAGGTTGCCGGTTAGCCACGACTTCAAGGTGCCCTGCCCCAGGACTTGCTGCCATTGCCTGTCAACAAATTAAACAGACTGTAAAATTTGGGTGGGTGAGAATGCGCGAGGTCTACAGTAATCAAGTGATTATGTACCGCCCCAGTGTTTTCAGTACTTTATGCTTTTTCATTTATCTGATTTCTCGCGTACCTGAGAAAGTACCTAGGAATCAAGTTCGCCACTAACCGAGGCTCAGTAACTTGAGCGAGTCCGAAGTTTTGGAACATCGCTTCCGAGACTGTAACATCTTTAACCCTTTACAGAAGGAGACGGTGTTTGGCGCTTTTACCTCTCGCTCTGGATGTTCTCATCAAAGCTCACTTTTTAAGGGACATATCAATCTTTTTCATCATGTTGGTATACATATATATAAAACAAAAATACTCTCTCGTAATTTGCGTACTAACTCCTAATTTGTTTATCAAACTCGAAAATAGTCTCCTAAATTTTATAATTTGCATTTAGAAATACTTTTTAAGAATGCATAGTGTTTTTTTTACAAATTCGACTAAACTCTGATATGGGCGTCCCTAATTCTCAACACCTTGCAATTATTAAACATATAAACAATAATTTAAGAATTATAAAAGGGAAAAGTAGTTTGTGTGGACGCACTTCTACAATAGCATCCCTTCGATGCATGTAACATCCATCTCTAATATGCATGTTCCAAAATGACAGCCACACAAAATTTTAAAATCAATGGTTTTAAAATTTATTTTTTTCAAGTAACAACATATCCATGTTAAGATTATAGATTCCTCAAAATTTTGAATGAACAATCTATCTCTAAAATAAATTTTAGAGAGGGGACTCATTTGAATACTTGAATCGGCCGACTCATAAAAACCTTGTCCATATAAAATTACCAAAATACCTCTTAATCTTTTCCCGTTTGCTACATATGAATGTCCCTGCCTAAATTCAAGCTTTCAAGCAAAAACAGTTCTTGAATTTGTGATAATAAAAGAGTAACTTCCATCACTTACATGTGATTTACAAAATTGCTTAGGTCTACAAAAGGTTTGAGGGCTTTCGGTTTTAAAAAGATGAAATAGGAGGGGAGGGGAGGGGAGGGGAGAGTTAGGCAGAAAGAGGAAACAGAGGAGTGAGACTTAATCTGATTTTTGCATTAGAGTGCTCAGCTGCTTATGTTACACAAGAGAGAGAGAGAGAGAGATTGAATTTTCAGGTTTACTAAGGAGTCTTCAAAACCCAAGCAAAATATCTTAGTAGTATAGTAGTCAACAAAAATATCTTAGAATTTAGAAATTTTCAGGCAAAGGCCAAAGCTCCCAAGCTAAAGTTTGCATCATAATGGATCCCAATTTCTGACCAAATATTCAAACAAAAAAAGGATAACTTCAAATTTGTTTAAAAAATCAAAATAAAAAAAGCTGATAAGTGGTCGAACTTTTAATCCAAAGTAGAGTTTGGAGAATGCATGGAGGTAAGACATCGGAGGAGACCAAACCAGTCAGAGTTTAGGAGCGCAAGCTTCTTAGGTTTGATCTTCTGCGATTCTCACTTACGAGCTTTCTCTCTCTTGAGGGACCCAATTTTGGGTGTCTTAATTTTGAAATGCAAACACCAGATGAGCGATTGCTTTTAGGATGGCTTCCTATAATGCTTGAAGCCTATGTTTGTTCACTGGTGGTGGATGTGCTTCTACGCTTAACATGCTAGTGTTGTGATATTTCTTAAGCCTGTGAAAAGTATAGTTAGTATCTTCAAAATCATGCACATACTGATCTCTCTCTCTCTGCCTAACATTCTAGTCTTGCGATTTCTCTTAAGCGTGTGAACTGTAAAGTTAGTTTCTTCGAGTTTTCTTTCCCGATCCGAATTGGGAATTGCCATGGTCCGAGTAGGACAGCAAATTGGTCCCTAATTCTAATTTTTCAAGAGTAATTTATGTGCAGACCCTAAAATTTAAGGTAAATTACAAAATGCTACACTTACGGGTAGAAATTACAAAAAAGATATATATATATATATATATATAATCAAAATTCAGATTTACCGAAGAATAATTTTGGAAAAAAAAAATGCAAGTTGACCGACCTTCTTTGTAATCTGTACTTATATGCGGATCAGTTTGCATTTTACCTAAAATTTTAGGGCCTGATGTAAATCACTCAATTTTCAAACACTGGACCCAATCGATTTCAGGTTGGGCGTACTTTCCCTTAATACATGCATGGTAGGATTGGGCTCAAGGCTTGGTGGTTAGGTTGGTGGGTCTGGAGTTCTATTCCAATTATGGATAGCGAACCTCTTGCTAGTGAATTACCCCTCTAAAAAAACTCAAAAATAAAATTTAAAAAAATACATGCATGCAACGTGCCTGAGAGGAGAGAGTCGGAAAGGAAAGTACCATGAGGGGAATCGAGAAGAATCATATATCTCGCAATAAATGGTGATAAGGGACATCACGGTCCAATGAATGTGT